ATATATATATATATATATATAGCTGACGACAAGATTGTATCGTTTCGTTGTTTTGTTTTCTGGCTTTCATTCAACATTAAACTAAATGAGTAAAACTGTGAACAAATTACGAAGCTCGATTTTTGGTTTTTTTTTAATTATGTTTTTAATACAGAATAAATGAAATTTTCTCTTTGGCTTAGTGGAAGATATAGTTTTAAATTAAATTATAGACGATTCAGTTTTGTCAGATATTTTAAAGATAACGTCTGTTATATTTACTAACTTATAGCTCTAATCAAAAAAGTTGTTTTTTGCTCGCTCTGTAATACTTAATTAATTTTTATCTTTTATGCAAGTCTATCTGAATGATGAACATGGTCGTTGTAGCATAGACGGAATAAAACACTAAATTATCATTTCTAAGGTTATCCGAAACCACACGTTTATTTAGTTTATAGTTTTGCTTTTAAAACGCGTTACTATAAAACAAAATAATTTAGAATCAACGATAATTGAAATAAAAAAAAGTTTTGATCTTATTAGCAAAAGTAATGAAGAAATGGCACTAAATCGTGGAGGGTAAACATATAAAAACACCAATGTCAACATATGTGTGAATGACAAAAGTTAAACCCACTTGAAAAATATGAGTTTATTATACTTACATATCCTCTTGATTTTTTACTGTATTATTTCAAATCTGCAAATACTTGAAATTCTGCTTAAAAAGGTGGACCAGTCAGTTGCCAGAGAAGGCCAGCATAGATTAAAAAAACAAAATAAAGTGACAGCAGAAAAAAGAAATTTACAAAAATTTCGAATTCAATATTTATTAAGTTTCATGAACTGCGCATAGGATTCAAGTATATAGAGCCCATACTTTAAGATATAAATACAAAACAACACACATTGTCTTGTTTTAGTTTCGATAATAATGTTATAACAAACATGGTGTAATAATAATGCAATAAATATGCCATTTTTCTTAAATATTCGTAATTTTAAATGCAATGTAATTAAAATTTGTAATTTTAAATGTAATGTAACTAGAATTTGTAATTTTTATTTTGTATCTGTATTTAAATGTGATTAAAATTTGTTACTTTATGTGTGATGTAATTATTTTGAAATCTGTAGAAATAGTTACTAACAAATAAGAAACTATGTATATTTAGATCCGCTTTACCTTATTTTGCTTAAAGAGCATTTACCATTTTATAAACTTAGTCTGCATTGACCATGTAAACTATACTTCTCATATTCCATACTTTGCCTAAAAACATTAAGCATTGTAAACAGTACCAATATTTTCAATTAAATGGTAATATCTATAATACATAATATGAACCTCATTCATTTTAAAATTTCATTTACTTTTTAATTTTCAGTTTCTTCAAATAGACTTTTTCCTAACAAAAATTTCTAACCAGGAATAAATTCGAAGTTAATAACACAAAAACGAAAAATTTCTCTAATTAGCATCATCCTCTTTAATAATCACATCATAATCTCGAAAAAAAGACTCACCATTTTAATTTTCTGAAAAATAAATTTTTAACTTATTTAAATTTTCAGTTCCTTCAACTTGATTTCGCATCATTCTTCCTAACAAAATTTTCTAACCAAGAATAAATTCGAAGTTAATGAAACATAAAAGAAAAATTTCTGCAATTAGCATCCTCCTCTTTAATAATCGCTTCATAATCATGAAAATAAGACTCAACATTTAAATTTTTTGAAAAATAATTTTTCAAATTTTCAGTTTCCTCAACTTGATTTTTTCCTAACAAAAATTTCTAACCAAGGATAATTTCGAAGTTAATAACACAAAAAAGAAAAATTTCTCTAATTAGCATCATTCTCTTTGATAATCGCATCATAATCATGAAAATAAGACTCACCATTTTAATTTCTTGAAAGTAAATTTTCACACTATTTAAATTTTCAGTTTCTTTAACTTATTTTTTCCTAACAAAAATTTCTAAGCAAGAATAAATTCGAAGTTAATAACACAAAAATGAAAAATTTCTTTAATTAGCATCCTCCTCTTTGATAATCGCATCATAATCTAGAAAATAAGACTTACCATTTTAATTTCCTAAAAAATGAATTTTCAAATTATTTAAATTATTAAATTTTCAGTTTCTTCAACTTGATTTTTTCCTAACGAAAATTTCTAACCAAGAATAAATTCGAAGTTAATAACACAAAAAAGAAAAAAATTCTCAAATTAGCGTCCTCCTCTATTAATAATCGCATCATAATCAAGAAAATAAGTCTCACCATTTTAATTTTTTGAAAAATAAATTTTTAAATTATTTAAATTTTCAGTCTCTTCAACTTGATTTTTTCCTAATAGAAATTTCTAACCAAGAATAAATTCGAAGTTAATAACGCAAAAAGGAAAAAATTCTCTAATTATCATCCTCCTCCTTAATAATCGCATCATAATCTAGAAAATAAAACTCACCATTTTAATTTCCTAAAAAATAAATTTTCAAATTATTTAAATTATTAAATTTTCAGTTTCTTCAGCTTGATTTTTTCCTAACAAAAATTTCTAACCAAGAAAAAATTCGAAGTTCATGACACAAAAAAGAAAAATTTCTCTAATTAGCATCCTCCTCTTTAATAATCGCATCATAATCATGAAAATACGACTTAATATTTTAATTTTTTTTTAAATTAAATTTTCAAATTATTTAAATTTTCAGTTTCTTCGAAGTTAATTACACGAAAAGGAAAAAAAAAATCTAATTAGCATCCTCGTCTTTAATAATCGCATCATAATCATGAAAATAAGACTCACCATTTTAATTTTTCAAAATTAAATTTTCAAACTATTTAAATTTTCAGTTTAATCGAAATTAATAACACAAAAAAAAGAAAAAAATTCTCTAGTTAGCATCCTCCTCTTTAATAATCGCATCATAATCATGAAAATAAGACTCACCATTTTAATTTTGCAAAAAATAAATATATAAAGATTATTTTCGTTATGAGAATAACAACTGAAAAGATTTCGCTCAAAAATATAAAAGATTCATATGATCAGTTCACATGCACTCAAAAGAAGTTTAATAAAAAAGAATCCAATTCCTATCAATTGCAGACTTTTAATTCTCAGTCTGTCTGTGTTTATTTTTCTGTGTGGCTTCACCATTTTCCAAGAAAGGCTTAGAAATCCTTCTTTTTTCTTGATACCCTATAAACACCAATTCACAGCAATTCATGAGAAAATCGTCAACACTTTTTTCTCCTCCCACATAAGTCTATATATAAAAAAACTTAACCACCAGGTGGCGCTCTATTTTTGAAACCAAAATGCAGACACCATTAATTTACTATTATTACAGAGCGGCTGGATTCGTTTGCTTAGGTAAGATATGGGCTTCATGATTAAATTTTAAAGAAATTTAGCATTTCTATGCACGTTTTCGTTTCTAACATTCGTACTTTTTTTTTGTTAAAGTTCTATTTATTTTATTTAATTTGATGCTTATTTTTAAATCATTAGTAGTAAATAAATTATTAAGACTTTTTTAGTAAAGCCCATCTGGTAATTTGTCTGAACTTTTCTATGTAGTTGTTCCCTGTCTTGTAACAAGTAATATTCAAAAATAATGAATTATCCATATTTTTTATTAAAAGATTGCGCTTAACTTCTATTTTTCTGTTAAGTAAATCAATAACTGTGAGTACATTCTTTACTCATTTTTTATTTTAAAAACTTAAAACTATTGCCATGAAAATTACAGCAAAATTATTAAAAATATTAATTTTTAAGGATTTAATTTATAAATAACTGTTTCGCCATATGACATTTCTCAAACGTATTTGTAAGGCAAAAAATGTAATAAAATTTAAGAAATAAATATAACGATTATACTAACTTTAATAAAAACTTAATTTGCTTCCAAAATTTCAAAGGTAGAAAACGAGCGCAGAAAATAGACGCCTATTTTCAAGACTCGTTAAACGTGAATGGGGAAAATAAAACAGATTTGAAACAGAAAACAGAAAGTTGTCAACAAAAAAGATGAAAAACAAAACAATTATAACAAGTTATTAATATATAACTACAAAATACAGACAAGATATTAATATAGATATGAATTATTAATTTTCAAGGGTTTCACGGGGTATTACTTTCTTGGGGTTTTGCGAATTCAACAATTCTAAAATCATTCAAAATGTTTAAGTTCTTAAAAATTAAGCTACCCCACTAACCAGTTAAGAAATCAATGAAAAACTATTCCTAAGCATCCCTTAAATTTAAAAACTTGAAATAAAAATTAAGCTTTAATGGCCTGCTTTTAATGTATTAAAACTAAATTATTCGGTGGGGTACAATAATTAGTCAAATTGTTTTAAAGCTGGTATACATTTAAAATATCAAAGAGAAGATTACGAAAAATTAGATCTTTCATCGGGAGCAAACACTTTGAATAAATCACAAAGTGACAAAGGTATATCTTTGCACAAAAATATATGTTTTCAGCACGATCTAACTTTTATTTTATTTTGGAAAAAATTATATAGGAAACAACGCTTTGAAATTCTTACATTTTTCGAAAATTTGGATATTTAAAAATTATATTTCAAAACTAAAAATATAACATTTATATTTATACTATTTAAAATATTTTTGTATACTATTTTTGTTTTTTTTGTAATTGTATATTTTATAATGAATTACGTTGCCTTTAGAAATAGGAGTACAGCTTTTGTAGCTTTTGAGAAATCACCATTCAAACAGGTAAGTAGAATTTTTTTTCTGTTCTATCTTTCATGGGTAGGAACTAAATTCTTACAATAGTTTCTTACCATTCATTGCATTTTTTCTAAAATCGGTGACAAAACTTTGAAGGATTGAGCCACTCAGTTATGTCATTAAAAATTCCGTTTTGAAACTAATTGCGTTTTAAAATTCAATCCGCATAGTAAAAATTACGCAAACTCATTTACATTAACAGTCCCAAGCTTGTTCTGAGAATACTGAAAGGTAAAATGTACGGTATAAATTTGTGCCACAATGCGGAATAGTCATTTTATGTAAATTGTTTTGTTTTTTTTTTTTTTTTAAAAAAAATAATTATATGAAATCAATATTGTTGTTTAAAAATTGCTTAACCAATTATTTTTTAAATGCTTGCAATTTTAATAAAAACATTTATCTCTTTTCTATTTGAAAAAATATTATTTCCTCTCCTCCAAAAAAAAATACTTAAGCCTCACACTAAGAAAAATAATATGGCTAAAACTACTAGAATATGGTAAAATTACCATGATATTTGGGTTGTTTCTACAGAAGCGCTCTGGTAATCATCTATTATGTATAATTCTCTTACGTGGCTCCCAAATTTTGGCTGTATTTCTTCTCCGCCGATGGCAACGTTTGCTTTGTTTTGTTTACGTTTTGAAAACATCAAAGCATTCTGCCTTTTAATGATGTGTTTCTGATCTATTATATATAATTCTCTTACGTGGCTCTCAAATTTTGGCTGAAGTATTTTTTACAACTAAATAAGATTCTTTTCACAACACTTAAATATTTACTTTATTTTCTTCATATATCAGTCGGCAAAGATTTCTATTAGGTTAAAAAACATTTAGCTAAAAAAATAACGAATTCTAAAAGAAATAAAAATAAACAACTTAAATAAAAATGCTGTTGCCAGCCATAGAATTTTTTGAAAGTTAACTTAATAAATCAAAATGACAAAGAAGCGCAACTAGATCAAAATTATGATACCTGAGCGCTTGACGTAACAAATCCTTCAATTCTATAAGTGTTGTATCGCCAAATGCCCAAATTAACAATTGTGTTTTTAAAGAAATTCTATAAAAAGTTTTGAATAAACAACCTACTTCTACAACTGCTTCTTGAAGAACTTGGCTCATTGATTAAAAATATTGTTTTAATTTTACAGTACTAACTTTACTTCTACTTTCATTATTGCTATGACCCTCTTTCATTACATTTTACAACTTCATGCTAAATTTGAGGACTTTAAGTTGTTTTGTGGTTGAATACTGACATTTAGAAATGTGTACATAAAAAAAATAATATTTAGAGGTTAAGAGTTGCCTCAGAAAAATTTGAATTGTTGACATTGAACTTAACAATGGAAACAATCGTTTTTGTGAAAAATTGAATTGTATTGTTGACATCAAAACTAAAAATATTGTGTTTCAACTTAACAATACTACCTTAATTTATACTTTAGAATTGCCTCGGAGAAATTTGAATTGTTAGCAATGACTTAAACAAAAAGTTTTATTTTAACTGACAAATACTATATTATAATTTTAACTTTTTCTATGACTATACTCATTTTCTTACTCTTTTCTTTGTTTTTTATACATTTTATTTTTTTGTGATAAAATAAAAAACTTATAGTTGTTCTGCTTCTGAACACTGATGAAAACACAAAATGATGGGCTTCATCAACAATCAAAAATATATACATTTATTTTACAAATTCCATATTATTAAGGTGGCGCCCTTCAGAGAATTAAAAATACAAAATTATCTTCATCAAAGCCGATGCTTTACATCCGGCGTTCAGTGGCAGACTACTATTTCATATTGTTTTACAACACATGGCTTTAGCCCTCTGGTGGGAAAGACTTTAAAACAAAACTTACAACAGTTACTTTTCTCAACAACTGAAATTTAGAATAGTGTGATTAAGAAAAATATGTGAACTGTTTGCAATTTCAAATTAATATTGAAATGTACAGGTTTAGAATTTTCTACAGTGAAAAGTTTTCGGAACTTCAGTATTCAAAAAAGTATACAAAAGCTAGACGTTAAGAACGTATCCAATGAGCGAGCAAAGCGTGCATTGGATTGCGAAGCAATCCGAAATGAACTGCGAAAGCCGTTCCGGGGGTTGGTGAGCGTTAGCGAGCAGGGGGCGAAACCTCCTAGTTTGATAAAATTAAGACTAAAGTATTGTTTTATAATGAGTGTTAAAATTTGATAAATTTAAAATTTGGTAATTTTATCACAACAACTTAATTCTAAAAACCATTTAGTCGGTTACCTTTACTTTTCAGTTTAAAATTTCTTTCTAAATGTGTGGTAATACGAACAATAATTTTGAAAATCAGAAATTCTGATAAGCCGTTAACATACAAACTGAAAAATTACCAAATGAATGGTTTAAATACCCTGTATTTTGATTTTCATTAACTAGAATTAAGGTTTTTTTGCCAGAGTTATCATTACCATTTTGTGCGGTAATTTTACCCGATTTTTTTTCTCCGTGCAGAAAAGTTAATCATAACAGTATTGTTTTTTTATTTGATGTTAGGCATGATGCGACTTTTCTCCAACCTTATTAAGGTATTTTTTTATATAACCGCCGTTGAACAGCCTTCCCAATTTTATGGGTTTACGGCTATTAATTTTCAACTCCGTAACCTTGTAATTTTGAACCCAATCCAGAAGACAAGGGAACTCCTGGATCGAGTACTGGGAAAAAATTTGACTTCGTGGAGGGTGTTTTGATGGAGCTAACCCGCATTTGCGTTACATGGAGAGGAAGACCACGAGAACCTCCCACGGTTAGCCTAACGGCAAGGGGACTTTAACCCATGATCCGTCTACCACTGAAGATATTTCTCGTCAGCACTGTGGTCGGTGCAAGCCAGATGCGAAATTAGTATCGAGTGGGATTCAAACCCGGTTCGCCTCATTGGAAGGCGAACGCTCTATCCCCTGAGCCATCGCGGCTTTTATTAAGGTATTTAAAGAGATTTTGCAAAGCGCTATGTTTCCATCCACTAATGCTACTTGAGACTCACATAGCAAACGTGAAAATTTCCCAACTTATCGCAATGTTATTAAAGAGTAAAAAAAGATATTATCTGTGACAAACGTTGCGCAAAATCTCACTTTCGCAAAAGTTGAACCATAATATAGTATAGCATGAAACAAAACTACGTGACTAAAGCACTAATAAAGTTACTGAAATAAACATAGCATAGGTTTGGTTCGATAAACAAGACCTTTCTTAGTGTCTGAACACCAAATGACAAAAGAGAAGTAACGAGACAATATTTTTGACATAGAATGGCGTCGTCAAGCTTAGGATAATACAGCCCAACATGAAAATTATAACCACATTTTGATTCAACAAGCTACTAAGTTCTTGACTGTCAATGGACTTAAGGGAAAGTTTTCATCATAGATCAGCACTAGTTTTTTAACATTTTTGAGGAAACGTGTAATATTGACTGAAAAATTGAAGAATTTGATCAAACTCTTTTCGGTTACCTGCAAGGAGAAAAAAATTTCGGTGAAATTACCGTACTTTATGGTAATGACATTTCTGGTTAAAAATAAATAAAATAATAAATAGAATAAAATTAGGGGAGAGTCGGGTAAAACCGCCCACTTAAGGAGTGTTGCTTATGTTTCTGTATAATATTGAGTAATAATCAATATTTTTGTATGTTTCTATTGTTTTATCATCTAATTAAATAATGCAAAAAGAATAAACCAAAAAAAAAAATAGTTTAACTTAAAAAAATAGAAATTTAAAAAAACATGTTTTTCAGCTCTTTTCAAAATGTGTCGGGTAGCCCCGCCCAGTTACAAAAATTATGTTTTTCGACTGTTTTTTAGGTGTAAATGAAAATGACCAATGTATTGACGATAGATAAACCTCGTTTATCATTTTTATCACAAAATTATTTTATTTATTACATATTTATATACTTTTAGTGAATTCTATCATTTAATAACAAGAATATTTGTTGTTAAAAATGCATATAACTTTCAAATTTGAAGCAATAAAATAATAATCTTTGCAACCGTACATTTATCGACGAAATAAAATTGGACGGTGATACCCGACATTCATGTGAGCGGGGCTACCCGAAATCCAATTTTTTTGTAAATTTGTAATTACTCGAACAATTTTTCACATATAAACTTCTTTCTTTGTGCAAATTAAACTTAAGACTACATCCTTTAATGCTGTATGTATAAAAAAATTATTTTTTAGTATTGAAATGAAGTTTAATCGAAACATTCAACCAATTTTTCTTAATTTCATGACTACTGTATCCAATATATTTTCAAAACTATTGTTTACCATGTTAACAGCTGCATAAATACTTGAAACTTTGAAAATAATCTTTTTTTAATATAACAATTAATGTCCGATGGCCCATTGACTTGAAAAAATATTCTATACATATGAAATTGACAGTGGGCGGGGGTACCCGCTGGGGGGGGAGGCTACCCGACTCTCCCCTAAATAAATTAATAGAATAAAAAAAGCATAATTTAGTTAATAATTTAGTTTTATTAACTAGTTATCAATTAGTACCATTAATTTGGTATTAATTGATTAAGAGTAGAAAGCCCATTTTTCAAGACTTTTCTGACCGTAATGAGAACAAACAAAAATGATTCGAAATATAAAACTTAAAGCTATCAACAAAAATTAGAAAAATAAAAATAAACAAAATTGGAAAAACCACTGAGAAAAACAAGTTATCAACAAAAATTAGAAAAATAAAAATAAACATAATTGGAAAAACCACTGAGAAAAACAAAGTTGAAAAACTGAACAAGAAAACCACAATGGCCAAGAGGGGCTAATCAAGGTAAAATACATTTCCCCGCGCTATGGAGAGATGGTAAGGAACAGATGTCTTTAACAAGGAAATTGACATTCATATGAATAAAACAAAATTCAACAGTATTAAGATGAGCTGATGCGGCTGAGGAAGATATAATTTCGGCCCAAGATCCCAACAATGTGCACCAATTGATAAATTCTCGTATTCCTGACAGTGGACAAGAATAGCGAATTTAATATTTATCGTGTTCCTTAAGTCTAAATTTTAAAGTGCGTATAATTTGTCCGATGTAATCAATGTTGCTTTAACAAGGTATGTGTTAAATTTCTCCAACGATTATTAAAGCTAATAGGATCTTTAAAAGACAATACTCTTAGTTTTTTTTAATCTCTCGGCTAAGGTGGTTTTTCTAGTTTTTTTTTCTCTTTATTTTAAGAATTCCCAGTGCTTATAACATTTTGTTTTATAACCGCCGTTGAACAGTAGACCCATTTTTTGGGGCTTACTAACCGTAGTCTTGTAATTTTGAACCCAATCCAGAAGACAAGGGAACTCCTGGATCAAGAACTGGGAAAAAATTTGACTTCGTGGAGGGTGTTTTAATGAAGCTAGAATTAAGGTTTTAACAGCCATTGAACAGCCAAATCAATTTTATGGGTGTACGGCTATTAATTTTCAACTCCGTAACCTTGTAATTTTGAACCCAATCCAGAAGACAAGGGAACTCCTGGATCAAGTATTGGAAGAAATTTGCCTTCGTGGAGGACTTTTTGATGGAAACCCGCATTTGCGTTACATGGAGAGGAAGACCGCGAGAGCCTCTCACGGTAAGCCTAACAGCAAAGAGACTCTAACCCATGATCCGTCTACCATTGAGAATATTTCACATCTGCGCTGTGGTCGGTACAAGCTGGATGTGGAATTCGTATCGACCAGCCATCGCTGAGATTCGAGCCCTGTTCACCTCATTGGAAGACGAACGCTCTATCGCCTGAGCCATCACAGCTCAACAATAAGTGGCTCATAACATTAACAGGATTACAAAAACAAAACAATACTGAATTTTCCTAAAAAATAGATGCAATTTAAGTATAACTCTTGAATTGTTTTTCTAACGCTGATAATTGTTTAATGTAAATATTGTATTTTTTGATTTGTATTTGTAATTATTATTTTAAAAATCAGCAACTTTGTAGCTTTTTTTTCTTTTTTTTTTCTTTTTTTTTCTTTTTTTTCGAAAACATTAAAATTGTGGGTAGTGCAAAAATTTCTAATTGTATTTTTCCGTTTAAAAGTAAAGAGAAAAAAAGATTAAAATATTTCATAAGGATTTTAAAAAATTAAAATGCAAATAAAAAGTACGTTATTGCTTTTTTTACCTTTCAAAAAACATAAAATGATTAAATTGATTAATTTTGAAATTATATTTCAAAGTTTTGAAGAAAATATCGCTCTGAAAACGTTTTGAATCGAAAAAAATAAATAATGAAACAAAATATTGCTTAGACCGAAATGCATCTTCATATCATGCAGTATTGAGCAAAAAAAAATCTGTTTAATTAACCAATTTTACTAAATCCCCCCCCAAAAAAATACTCAGTGCTTATAACATTAACAGGATTACAGAAACAAATAAATACTGAATTTTCCTAAAAAATACACACAACACAACTTTGATCTTTTAATAAAGCCTTTCTACCTCTGATAATGTTTTGTTATTTTCAGATGGAGAATAAAATAAAAGGAGGTAGAATTTACAAACTTGGCGCAGACGGAAAAGTTCAGACGGCATTCAGCATTAAAGTGATCCCGTACTCTGAGGTTAGAATGGATTAAACTACTTAAGTTGATTAAATCTTATTCCCGGTTGAATTAAAATAAGCTGAGACTATAAACAGTTATTTTATGTTCGGCTGTCTCTTAAATTAGAGAAGTCTTTTAAAGCTATTTTATCCGACTATTGTATGACTACTTTAAATTTAATATAAGTAATATTAAAATATTCTCGAAAACTGTATGAAACTGTCTTAAAGTAAAATTATGTTTATTTTAATAAAATCGGTTTAATAATATTCATTGTTAGAATTTCTAGGAAAGTAAATTTAAATAACTATTTATTTAATTATTATTTATTCAATTATTTTTAAATATTCTCGAAAACTGTATGAAACTATCTTAAAGTAAAATTATGTTTATTTTAATAAGATCGGTTTAATAATATTCATTGTTAGAATTTCTCGGATAGCAAATTTAAATAACTATTTATTTAATTATTATTTATTTAATAATTTTAAAATATTCTCGAAAACTGCATGAAACTGTCTTGAAGTAAAATTATGCTTATTTTAATAAGATCGGTTTAATAATATTCATTGTTAGAATTTCTCGGAAAATAAATTTAAATAACAATTTATGTAATTGTTCTTTTGCCATACTGAAACAAAATAGTTCATATATCCATACATAAGATGGTATTCAAACTGTTAACTGTGATAAATACCATTTATTAACTTCTTACAGCTTATGCGATTAAAACACCAGAATGTTATCGCAGCAATTAGGCCCACCTAGTGAAGTCATTTTGTTTCTTGCAGCTTAGAACATATTATAGCTGAGAGGAAAAATATGTGAATCTGAAGACTGGCAATACGGGGTTCAAGTCCCAGTGTTGACACCTTAATATTTATTTCAATACATGAAGAGTTTTCAGTGTCCTGCACTCCCCAATTTGTGACCCTGGACTATTAGCATACAATACTCTAATTCCCGCAGGACCATAAAGTTGCTTAACACAAAGTAGTCTAGTATTTTTACTGCTAGTTGTAAATGGTTAAAAACCGTATAGTTTTGTATTCATGGTTTTTTAACCATACTAGTTGTTAAGGGTTTCAGAACCATAAAGGTATAAAATGTTCTTTACCATAAACGGTTAAACTTTACGGTTAATTTGATGGACAGACTGCTACTGGTTATTTTACTGCAATTTTGGAATGAAAATTCTAACGGTATTATTTTGCTTCATGATGCTTTGTATGAAATAATAAAAATTCATCGCAAAATTAAAAATAGTTTTACTTGAATTTTATAACAGTTTTGAATCAATTTATGAAATGATAGTTACGCTCCTATAATGTGAAAAAAGGGAGGACTATGTGAAATAAAATAATAGTATGAAGAGTAATGTTAGAGTTATTATTGGGCAATCGTTATTCTCTTGAATCGTATTTCTATTGCGAAATCAAACTTTCGTTGGGAGCTTATAATTTTATTGCAAAACCGCATTTTCACTGTGAAAGGAGCTTTGCTTCAATTATTCTTATTATAGAATGCTGGTATCAAGTGTATTCCTATCATTAATGTTCTATTTATAAATTTCTCTTCTCTTCGTTGAATCGTATTTTAATATCGGCTCTCAATTTTCGCTGATTATTTTCCTTTTATCACCAAATTATATCTTTACTGCAAGATGGTTTTAGATTCTATATTTAAGTATTCCGAATAATAAGCTTTAATAAGGAGAATTACTATAATTTTATATTTTTCTAATCTTATTTTTAAGGTAAGAGCCATCCAGTTCTCTGTAAGAGATTATCCGGCTTAAATTACGTTGCCTCATCCAAAAAAAAAAAAAATTCTACCATTAAATCCCTTTTTACGGAGAAATATTATAATGTAATTTTTTCAGTAGTATTTACTTGATTAATGTAATTCAGTTATTTTACGGTACTTATTATAAATGCATTCTAATGGCACGATAAAAATAGGTTTTACACTAAAAGTATATATACATGTACAGAATATTCGTAAATTTCAAGCGCTGAAAAATAGGTGCCTATTCAGAAGACTCTCCTGCACTGTAAGAAATTCCAGTTGCAATTATGGTAAGCCGAAACTCAAGATACAAGTACTTTTCACCGTAAAATTAGGCAGGTACGCGGGTACTTTTTACCATAACATTATTACCAGAACATGTTACGGAACAAAAAATATGACAAGCTGTAATTTTTACAGTAATAATTACAGTAAAAAAACTGAATCACAATAATTAAATAAATATAAAAATTACTGAATAATATTTTACAGTAAAAATGAATTTTACGGATTAATCACATTAAGAGCCGGTATTTTTAACGTAATTTGATCCTGAATTTTTTTCAGTTTATATTTTTATTACGAAATTACATTTTTACTGTGCGACTGACGTAGATTAATTTATTCATATTTTTTTTTATTTTACAAGCTATCCTGTAACATTTTTTATTTAAGCTCACTTAATATTAAACCAAACTGTTGAATTTCCCAATTAAGAGAGATGTTTTATGGGGAATTATTGATTCCGATTGGAATTTCGGTTCTCTTCGGGATCTTCTAATCCCATAAAAAAACCTTAAGTTAAATTTAGATTGTGGTATTTATCATATTTCTTGGTTTAAATATGAAAATTTGTTTTTCTATGTTTTTAGAAACCAAAGTTGAAGAAATTTACATTGTTCAAAACGCATAAAAATTATGATGTGGTAATAGAAAATAAAGTGATTGCAGACAAACCAGGTTATCCAGGAATTACTCGTAAAGCTTTGAACCACGCAATGGAGGCTTATATGGAGCTCTATGAGGATCAACAGAAAAGGAACAAAAGTAAATTTCCTATTTTTAATGTTTGTTTAATTGGTCCTTAAAGTACACTCTCGGAAATAAAATCCTTGATCTGTAATTCATTCATTTTGAGAATTAATTCGGTACGAAATCACATTATTTGTGAAGAAACTCTCAAATATATCAAGAAAATGTTTCTTTAACTTGACACCTCCTCGTAATGCATTGTGGGAGATAGTTAAGAAGAACACGACTAAGGGATTATTAGAAAAGTGAGATATATTGGGCGCTACCGGATTTCTTTTTTTTTTCTTGAAAGGTAAAATATTTTTTTAATTTGACGAAATTCATTTCGATAGTTTTTTCGTCACTTTGGCAAAGTTTTTAAATCGGTGGATATAGCAGGAAACGGTTTCGTCAAAGAGACAAAGACAAGAAAGAAAGTTTCGTGATATTTGAGTATCTATTTTTTGCAGTGTATTTGTACTGATACGGAGGAAGAAGGTACTTTACAGTTTAAGTTTCCTTAATAAAATGCTCGTTACAGAACCATATTGTGAAAAATACCATTAGTAGGATAAATGAAAACAATTTTTACTCAAACGCATGACCATTTATGAATAGTTTAAGAACAGAACTATTTTCAAATTTTAGAGCAAACAATTTTCAAACGCACCTAACTAGACAATTTTCAAACGCACCCAAATAATACAATTATTTAAAATTTAAAAATGCTTAATAATTGTTCAACTTTGCATCAATGAAACAAAATTATAGAGCTTTGTTATCAGTAATTTAAATATACACATATTATAGATGGAATTTGTCAGAAAAATGGACATCATTTATGTTTACATCATAGTAAACGGTTTACAAGCACAAAAGAATTTTAAATCTTTTATCAAAAATCTTGCACAGTAAATTATATTTCTTAAACTTACTCGACTACTTAAACCTTTTTTTTTATTTTCTTTATCAGCCACGTATCAAACAAAAAAAAATAATTTGGGCATTCAAAAAATAAAACATGGCAGAAACTTATTAGTTAAAGACGAAGTTCAATTTTAATTTAATAAATTTTGAAAGTAACAGTTCGATTTTAATAAATATTTCTGTCGTATAGAATATATAAAACAGAATTAGATACTATCTACTACAGGATAGTATAGAATCTATATATATATATTTCTCTTACACGGCGACAAAAAAAAAAGCCTCATTACAACTCCCCGAATGGCAAAGCTAGAAAATCGACCAATGATTGCCGCTAAAAATGTCACATGCCAAATCCAGCTGAGATGGCTCAACATATAGCACTTTTAAAAACGGAAACTGAAATAACCAGAGAGAGCATAAGCTTGGCAGAAGTGAGTAGTCTTTGTCGATAGATCTCTATTTTAGTATTTTGTCGAAAGCGCTTTTTTTGACGAATTTATATATTACGAATTTATTTGACGATTTTTGATTTGTTTTACTAGAATTTATTTGTTTAAGCAGGTTTTTCCATTGTAATTCACTTTTTTCAATTTTTAATAGCCAAAAATTATAGCCAAAATTTTAACCTTTTTAAAGAAATATCAGTTTTTGAATTTTTATCTTAAGATTTTATACTATAGCACATTTCTAATAGGTTTAACGAATTACATGTCATTTATTTGAATTCAAATTTATTTTAATGACTTAGTATTTACTAAAAAGATGTAATTTTTTTTTAAAAAAAAGTTTTTATATAGATATGAATGATTGTTTTGAATTCTTAGAATTTTGTGCATTTGCAATGTAGCTAAGTTAGTAGCGTGCGAAGCGAACTTGGTTTGTGAAGCAAACCATATAAGATTGCGTAGCAATTTTCGGAGGTTGGCGAGCGTTAGCGAGCAGGGGTCGCAGCCCACTAGTTATACTTATTACAGTATGCTAGGTAGAACGGTATACTAGGTCTTGCAGTAAATAAGTATTCACATATTCTAGGAATTTTCAAAATATATATTACTTCTATTTATATACTGGTCTCTAAAGTACTTCGGGTAACGTTACCGTAATAGGTTTTGGAAATCCATGGTTTAAGCATCCGCGAACCAAAGAACCATGTTCAAGAATATCTTAGCTCTAAACTTCATAAAGAATATTACTTGATTAGTTATAAATTTTTAAATTTTTGTTTGACTAATATTTTATGCATGCTGAAAGTTACGAAATATTTATATAGTATGAGACATAACCTGAAGTATGGGATTCTAGAGTGTAAAAAATTCCGGATCAAATTACGGTAAAAAGTATCTGCACTTAGGGTGACGGTACTTTTTACAGAAAAATTCATTCTTACTGGAATATCTTACGGAACAAAAATCTAATTGAGTGCAATTTCTACAGTAATAATTACTGTTAAATCACTGAATAACGCTAAATAAATAAATATTACTGTAAAAATTACAGTATAATATTTTATGATAAAAGTAGATTTTAAGAATGATGCACCCAAAGTACTGGTACTTTATACTGTGATTTGATCCGGGATTTTCGACAGTTTATTTTATGTAATATAATATGCATATAATGTAATAAGAGTCCAAATTATACAATAAGACTCCAAAGTAATTCAGGTAAAGTTACCCGAATGCACTTTGGAGACCCATGCTGTAATCATATCGACTCAAAACTCCTGTTCTAGAATGTCATATAATCCTAAATTTAAATTAAAAATAAATAATACTTACTAAATAGTAAAGTTTTTAATTGTAATATGATTGATGTGTTTCGTATGTTCGAACTTAACTTAAATTTTAAACTTTTTATTGGAAAAATATTTGTAATTATTCCACCCATTATGGAATGGGTGGAAACAGAAATTTCGACAGAAATTCTAAGTCTTTTGTAGAATGAAAATATATTATCTCCGTTCTTTAAACATTCCAATACTCCTTTTATAAAATTGAGAAATATGTTCTATATACGGAAGAAACTAAATTAATTCCTTGATAAAAATAATATTTAATACTCTTTTTTGAAACTTGAGTATTTGTGTTCCTATTAACGTTGACATATTTGTTAATAAATAAAGGATACACTTTTCAAGCACTTTTATTTATCTTTTTTATCTACGTTCTGAAACTTTCAGCTTCAATTAAGTCTAAAAATACTAATTGCTTCTTCTTAAAAAGTTAGAATTATTCATTTATCTAGTGTTTTTATGGCTCTTAACACTTAACAAAGCTTTCCTCGTTCAAAGATTTAAAAAGCTTCATTTTTTTATGTATTTTAAATCAACATTTTGAACTAGAAACGTTCGGTTTGAAAAGCTCAAAGTACCTATTTTTAAATTTGTCAGAACGATATTTAAAATTACTCATTCAATGTTCTTAATATTATTTGTAAGCAAATATAGTGCCCAAATGTTTTGTTAACTACAATTTTTTATTTTCCTTAAATGGAAATCATATAAGGCCTTTACTAATACCTTTGAGAAAGTTAATCTTTAAGTACAAGACTCTATTAATACATTTGAGATATTTTGAGCACTGTAAAAGTGGTTGTTTGTGTTTCACGCTATTTTTCAGTGAATGCTATCAGTGAGCATAAAAGTTAGTAGACCATGCCTATGAGATAAAATGAATGTAACTTGTAATACCAATGCCATTACACGCCATTACAATTTGTAATACCTTGTAATACAATTCGTAATGGCGTGAATGTAACTTGTAATACCAAATCGTGGTATAATATGAGTATACGGAACTGAGCCACGATGGCTTAAGAGATAGAGCACTTGCATTCATTTAAAGTGGCCCTGATTCAAATCTCAGCAATTCCAGATCGGACCTCTGTGGTTGATGGATCATGGGTTAGAGTCCCCTAGTCGTCAGACTAAACGAGGGAGTTTTTCGTAATTTTTTACCCCGTGTAACGCAAATGCGGATTACTTCCATCAAAAAGTCCTCCACGAAGGCAAATTACCAGAAGTTCCTTGGTCTTCTGGATTGTGTTCAAATTTACAAAGCTACAGAGTTGAACAGTGGTAGTCGTAAATTTAAAATTGGCTCGGCTGTTCAATGACGGTCATAAAATAAAATAAAATATGCGGTACAAAAATATTAAAATTTTAAAGTTCAGCGTTTTCAGTGATTTTTGTCACTGTTATAGTTTCCATTTTAAACATCTTTTACATTTAAGACATAAACCACCAAACTTAATTATTCAATGCAAATCAGATTTTTAAAAATTTATTCGAAATGTTTTTTCATTAAAAATTTTGATTAGAGTGAATAACTATACATAAACAAGAAGGAGATAGAAATTAACTTGAAACTTTAATAAATATGGGTATTCTCGTCCTCCAATTTTTCATATTTAAAAAAAATATTACGAAGAGTGTCAAAGAAGACCAAGATCGGGAAAACTCTTTTTCTTGGCCTATTAAACGTATTTAAACGTGCTAACGAACTGTTAATTCGTCAAAATATTGGGGGAAATGGGAAGTAATGTCGTTTCGGTACGTTTGATATTTGTTATCAAGATTTTATTTTTAACCTAAAATGTATTCACCCTCGTTAGCAACAACTTTTCAATGCCGGATCTAAAATGAATTGAAATGGATGTAAAAAAGGAATTGGTTTTTAAGACTAACAAATATTTAATGTGCCGAAACGACATTACTTTCCGGTCCCCCTAATATACCGAAATCGTTAATGAAAACCTTATCACCATTAAAATTTTTTACCCTAAAGGCTTTTTATTACATCAAGACAATGCTAATCTTGACACTTAATAAAATAAATTATAAAATTTCTTGATAATGAATATATATTTTAAAGTAGCCATCTTCACCCACTGATCTCCACCCAATAGAGAATTAAAGGGAATAAAAAATAAACTTGAAAAAGAAGAAAAGAAGACAGTTAAAGATCGGAAGAAAATTTTTTTAAAAATAAATACACTCTCAAGTCTTACATAAAATCAGTGGCGGGGCTTCAAATGGTTATTGCAGCTAAAGGAGAAAGAATGAAAAGCTTGATTTACTTGTATATTATTTTACAAAGAGAAAACATTGTCAAATGTGTGACAGATAATTGAAGCTGATTGTGGGGTTCAAAATAAGGACGATTGGCAATCCTACAAATTATGAAAGAGTTAAATTTAAATTCAGAAACAAATACCTTTCTCATAACTCGAAGTTAACCGAAATTTCGGGAGTTAGTAAGTAACGCGGCATTAAATAGTAAAGGAAGTCACAAGACGTTTGGTTAGTATATTTATCGTGGCCGATTGGTAAGAATGAAAATTTCTTTTGCATTGTCATTTGTTCCACAACACAGGGATAATGCAAAGATATGATCAAATGAAGAAAAACATTTTGCTTTTTTATAGAGCATTTTTAAAGATTAACAAATATAGCCATACTTATGACTTAAAAAACATATTATTATTAAAGAAGTAAAATATTAAGAATTTCTTTTAGAGAAACGAAGACAGTTTATCTTCAAGCATATAAAATTAGGCTTTTTAAACATATAGCATATAATTTTGGTTGCACCAATTAACGGACGGACCAACCATCTGACATCCAAAAATCCTCCCGACCTAACGCCAAGAAATTCTTATTTTAGGTAAATGCATAGTTGAAAGCGGACACTTAAGAGCATGGCATGAGATCCAAAATTTGGCGAATTATCAATACATAATATAGCCAAAACTAAAGTCAACCCTGTGTTATTAATATTATATTTAAAATAATTGGACTATTACTTACTCAGCAAAACGATCATTAGAATTTAATGTAACTCTGTAACCGAAGCATTATGTGGGTAGAGAAATAATGTAGTTTAAAGAAAAAGAAAATTTAAAATAGATGATGTTCGCGACGCTGAATATAATGACACTTGTATTAAATTAAAAAGTTGGTCGTTACATTGATTGTTTAAGAAAGAAAAAAAATATTCTCTTGTTGCGAAACTTGATAAAAAAATAAATAATTGGTTTAATTTAATTATATTAGAATTAAAAGAATTAAATTTAAGAAATTAAAGAAATTTTAAAAGTTAGAAAATATGTAATGCCTATAATGGCATCATAATGTTCTTATCCATATATTACATAATTTCATAACAAACTAGCTGGATGCTCGGGAATGAAAACAAATCCATTAATTTGCACTGATAAACAGTACAAAATCATACACAAAATTAAAAGGCATATACCGACAAAATAGATGAATCCGAAATAGTTTTTTTTTTAAATTTATTATTTGTTGCTCTTCCCGGTAGATTCACGTTATCATTCCTCAAAACAGGTTTTTAGTAGTTCATCCCATCAAAATAATGATTAACTATATTCAGCATGAGGCTATTGCTCGAGGCCAACTCTAAATTTTCTATTAAAATTTCAGTTATTACCATAATAGCTATCTTTCACCAAAATTATTTGAACAACCTTGACGTCAATAATGGCATGGTGGCTTTCAGCTTTAATTTAAAATTTACCTTTTAGTACTTAACTTTATTTCTAATTTCATTTACCATCAATTTTAAATTATTTATTTTTAAGGAAACACACGTTCAAAGTATAACCAGAAATAAAATAAATACGTGGTTTTAGAAAACGTTTGAAAGACCAATTTGGAGACAGAGTCCTCATACACTATCCACGCTGATAATTGACGTAAACTAACAGTAATTAAATGCGAAAAACTCCTTCTTTTTTATTAAATAAAACTATAATCTGTCAAACACTACTGATATTATTTTTTAAATATTTAAGAACAATTGTTTATTTAATTAAACAATAATTAATTTTAAATTAATGCGCAAACTCAATTTTCAGCGCCTTTCCCGAACAGATTAATTGAAAATTTTGAACAACTTTTAGAACCGGGGGATTGAAATTATCTTTTGTTCCCATTGTCTAAATTTTGGATGTTAAACTCGAACTTTTCTGAAATTGTAAAGGAGAGAAACCGCCACACTTCTTAGTTTCCTTCTTAGTTTTTTTTTTCTTTTTAATTTTATAAAAATCGGAATTACGTTGAATCATTACAATGTTACCTTGAGCAACAACCTTATGCAAAATCGCCTTAACCTTTATAAAGAGTTCAATTGAATCCTAGTATCATGCAATCAAGATTAAGGTTGCTTCATTTGCTCGGTATAGTTCAACGTGACAGGATGTTACAACTTTGAACCATATTATGGGTTCAATAAGTAACAAAATTTTTTTTAAATTTCAAAAGACAGTATATTTCAAGGCATTCATGGTATGATTCTTTTATTCGATAATTGGGAGAAAAATACTTTTTTACGTAGGTTTATTAACCATTAAAAAGTATTGCATTTATTTTAATTTTTCCAATATTCTAAATGTTTCGGGCTCAATTTAAAATACTTCCAAAAAGATAAAACACGTATATTCAGTAGCTTAAAAGCCCTCTTTGTAATTGGTTTCATGACTTAAAAAAAAGAAAATGGCCCGTCTCTGTCATGGTTGGATAGTGTTTTTGAATATATTTAAAATTTCGTAAAACAGCTTATAAGAAAGCATTAATAGGAAAATAATTTATAGTTTGTCACGGATTATAAATTTGTAACAGTCATGTATTTCAAAGAATAACGTTGACTAATGTATTTGTTCTACATTTTTTTGACAAAACATTGTATTTACATTCATTATTTTAAACATTATTATCAGGCATTTCAATATTTTAATGTCCCGGATTAAAAAATCTATAATTTTGTTTCTGAACGAAGAAAGTTAAGAAAAACAATAAGTTTCATTTATTGCGCTTAAACTGCAAGTAAACAGAACTCATTAGATAAGTTCAAAATGAAGATAAAACAAAGAAAAATTATCGACATATGAAAAGGGGGGGGGAATAATAATTAAAAAAATAACAGCAACAATTTTAAAAAAAAGGATGAAATTTTATTTAAAAAAACCGGAAAAAAAAGATATAATCTTTTCATCAGCTCACAGGATTATGTCCGCAAAAAAGAGTGATTATATCCGGATAAGAGCGGATAAAACGATTATATCCGCTCTTTTTTGCGGATATAATCGTGTGAGCTGATGAAAGGATTATATCTTTTTTTCGGGTTTCTTTTAAATAAAATTTCATCCTTTTTTCTTTTTCTTTTTCTTTTTTTTTTAAATTGTTGTTTGTTATTTTGTTACTTATTATTCCCCCCCCCCTCTTTTCTTCATATGTCTATAATATTTCTTTGTTTTATCTTCATTTTGAACTATATATATATACATATTAACAAAAGAATACATATTAGCAAACAAAAGGTTTTACACATTACATATTAACAAAAGGATATTGCATGAAATTATAACAATCGTATAATTTATGAACTAAATTACCTCTTTTTTTTGTTGAAAATATCGGCTTAAAGAGAAAGAAAAATGGTGACTGATGATTAGTGAGCGGAATCACCTAGTACCTTAAAAGATCAATAACATCAAGTGTCATTTAAAATAATATAACCTTTGAGTTTTAAATATTTTTAATAAAAACTATTAATATCATATTTTGTAAATACAGTAAACTCTGTCAAAAACGGAATTGATTGGAGCGAAATAAAAAAAATATTTATTTCACCCTGATTTTCCATGTATGCAACCTCACATTTGCATAAAAAATAACGATTAAAATTCCACCTCAATCCTTATATTTTAACTAAATCTTTTAAAACTTGAAATGGAAATCTAATTTAAATTTCCATTAATATAAAATGCAAAACACATATTCTATATGTGCTATCGTTTAATATGATTTGAAGAAAAAGTCTCTCAATGTTTTCTCATTTTCATCATTTTTAATAATAATAATAATAAAGTTCAACATGATGAAAAATATTTCGACGTTTTCTTTTATAATAAAAAATTAAGCAACTTTGTATCTTATAAAGCATCTTGCTGACTTTCGTTCAGCTAGTTTCTTTAATCTCTTCATAGCACTAAGATTGCTGAATTAAAGAACTCATCAAAACGTTCTATTGAACGGTGCAAATTTTGTCGTCAACTTTCTAAATAATTAAACAAACAATCATGAAAAATAAACATCACATTACGAATCAGTAGAACATTACCCCTTTTGACGAATTTTCATATATTTTGCTCTCTTTCTCACTTTCCGTTCTGCATGAGGCAGATTACGGCTTATACAAACAAAGCTATTTACAATAGGGTTTTTCAGAATTTTCAAAATTTTCGATTTTGACGGAATTCCACTTTGATACTGAGCTCATCTTTAACAGAGTTCACTGTACTTTTATTAGCTTCAAGTAAATTATAATTTTAATCTGGTTTTCTTTTTTCTAGGCAATGCCAGCTTATACCTTCACGAAGACAGTGTTATCGTCCAACATTTTAAGCCCTGATTTCATTCATGAAAGTTATTTTATACTTGGTGCTTTTACTGAAAAATATTCTTATGCAAAGTAATTTGGGATAACTAATGTAATTGAAACAGACTAAATGTCATATTTATTTTCATTATCTATTGCTTTTGTGGAAAGGAAATAAAATTTATTAAAAATGCATTTATCATAGAAGAATTTTTATGTCATGTTTAAGTTAAATATCTTCAGATATTTCAGATTAAGTTAAATATCTAAAGTTAAATATCTTTATCTGCTGAATTTTGAAAGAAACTCTTTTCTTTCAGTATAAATTTAAATTTTGTCAAAAATAATATGAATAATATAATAAATAATTTTAAATTTATGAAATTAGTAATTCCACAAAGGCTAACACAAAAAAAAATTTTTAAATCAAAACTTTGTTTTATCGCTTAAAAAAAGCACTCAAGTAATAAAACTCTTTTTGTGCTTCTCTTTTAAATATGAAGCAAAACAAAGATTTTTTTTCTTAAACATGTGAATTAGCGCATTCAATGCTGATGTTCAATATTAACACATTAATGAGAAGTCTGTGACGTCACTTTAATAATAAACGGATGTTTAGTGACAGTAATTTGTTCAACAGTTATAAAATTAGTAATTTCACAAAGATTAATGCAAAAAATATTTTTAAAATCAAAACTTTTTTCACTTTATTATTGAAAAAGAGCACCTTAACCAAGAAGCTCTTTTTTAACTTCCCTTCCAAATATGTAGCAAAACGAAGATTTTTTTTACGAATTTTCTTTTCAGAAAAATGTTAATTAACGCATTCAATGTTGATGCTGAACATTAACATTAAAATTTAAAGTCTGTAGGGTAACTTTAAACATAAACGTATGTTAGGTGATAGGTTCAACGTAATAAAGCACAGCGCAAGCCTTTCGATCCATGCTATCCATTTATTGATTCATGTTATTTTTGGTTGATACCCGTTATTTTTTCATTGACATTGACTATAAGGTGATTATTTTGAATACGTTAAAATAGTTTTTTCTACTTCAACCTAATTAGAAAAGATTTAGTGTATTTAAGTTGCGAAATATGACTTTTTTATAATTTTGCACAATATTTTTTGCTTTTCACCAAGAAATATTAGGATGATTTCATTAAATTTTCGTAAGCTAATTTCAAGCAAAGGAAATTTTTCTTCTTTGAAGTATATAGATACCTCCTAACTCTTCAACATTCAGCAACTTTTTGAGCATATTTTGTGTAGTCAAGCAAAACTCTAAAACAAGAATAAAAATTATCTGCAATGTGTATACCAAATATACTCGAATTGTGTTTGATTTACCAAGCATTCTTCTTACTTAAGGAAAAGAGACAATTTCATAAGTTTTGAAAATTATCTTCAGAAAATTTTCAAAAGTGTAGTTGGTAACATAAAGCCCTATGAAAGAAAGCTCTATAAAAGATAGCTCCATAAAAGTAAGCTTTATAGTCACACACAGATACTAACACTACTAACACCATATAATCAATTTTATGAACACTAACACCAATCAATATTAGTTTTAAAATTTCTGGCATAAGAAAACAATTGTAGGTATATTTTCTTTTTAGAAATGTTTGTAAAACGTAATTACACATTAAACAATACATAAAATTAAATTTGAAAATTAAAGTGACTAATTAAAGCGACTAAACTTATTAACTAACTCACTAAAATGTCAAACTATGGTGATTGTTTTATCCATGGTTTATTTAACCCCTTGCACTACTCTGAAAATCGGAGCAAGCCGTGACTGACTTATGCACCCGAATATTCAAGAAAAGAGCCTAACACAAGAGAGATAGACAGAGGATTAGAGGATAAGAGATTAGGAAACAATATATAAAATACCTATTCATATAAAGAAGAGATAAGAGACTCAGACCAATACCTCCTAGATTGAAGAAAGCCGAAGGACGGAAAACGATGACTCATACAGTTAGGCCCAGATTTGCTGATCACTTCTGACGAAGCTTCTCTTTTTGGTACTT